TGCAGCTGGAGGCCTGGATTATTGTTGGAGAAGCGGCAGGTTTGTTTGGTCCGGAGCCCGCGAGAAAGCTCAACAATTAATGGCAAACAATGCTGCCAGCGGTGGCAGCATCGATTCTCCCCTCCCAGGGCCAGCAGGTAGGCAGGTGGAGGGAAGCTGGGGCAGGCTTGGCACCCAGCTGTGTCCTGGGGCTGAACTTCAGGGAAAACTGGCTTTTTCTGCTTGGAAGTGAGGCCTCTGCGGGATCTGAGGGGTTGGAGCAGGGCAGCCCAGATGCCTGGACCAGAACAACTGGTCTTATTCACCAAGTCCCTCAAAGAGTGGGAAAGTTAAGAATCTCCCAGTGTCACTGGCCTCTGGGCTAAGACTTCAGGGTTCACTTGACTCCCAGCCCTGTGCTCTACCCTGGCCTCCAAATGTCAGAGAGGATGTTTTACTCCTCTGCCATTGAGGACTGAGTGAAATTAAATGCTAATAATCTGCAATGGTAAGGTCTGATGGTACACATCAAGATGTCATTATTGGAAATGTGCTGGGAGAAAGTTAGGGGCCATTTATGCGTTGGGTCTGCCTGACAACATGAGTTTGAACTTGGCATACAAAATGCAGGTAATAGCTTCTTTCTCATACAGGTGATATAAGGACTAAATGAGCTACTGTATGTAAAGCACTACAATGCTTGGCACATAGCTGGTGCCTAATAAATGTTTGTTATCATTGTTACTGCTATTATTGTTATCATTAGGATAATGACATCCTCCTAGTTTCCCATCTGCCAGTACTGGAACTTTGCCTCAGGCTGGGGCACAGCGCTGGCTGCAGCCACATTTTGCAAAATGGGCAGGCATTTCAGAGTAGCCTTAATTACTTACTGGCTGTGAAGCCCAGGTTAAGTGACTTAATGTCTCTGAAACTCAGTTTTCCCATCTGTAAAGTGGGCATAACTAGTCTTTTGTTGTATTAAATAGAAAAAGCATTTGAAAGGCTTAGCCCCTGAGGGTTCTGGGATAGGCCTCATATCTCAATACATGTTTGTGAAATGACTGAATGAGTTGTGGATGTATGTACCCCAGGGACTTCTCTTTTAGGAGATGGGAAAGGTCCATGGATATGAATTGTCATCTTGGATGATTCCTTGGCCCGCACCTTTCATTTAAGGGTATGCCAGGCTCAGAGTTTCTCCCAAGGTTTCATATTGGTCCCTCAAGTTCTGTGAGGGTGTTGGAAACTGAAATAAATCAGAGGGCTATGAAGGCAGATGACATGGGGTTGCCCCTCCCTTACTTTAGTCCTTAAATTCATACAGGGACCCCTCTTAGCCAGCAGAAGTGGTCAATAGGTGCTGTAGGAGGGAATCAAGAAGCCTGGACTCCAGGCTTAACTCTGCCATTGTCTGCCTGTGCAACTCTTACGAGTTTATTCAATGGATTTAATGTCTGCCAAGGGCTAGCTAGGCTCTGTGCCACTAGAGACATGAGCAGTGGTGGCACTAAGGGGTGGCTGGGGAGAAGCTTTAGCTCTCTCAGAATGGCCGTCATTACACCACCCCCAAGACACCTTAGGCTGACAGTGTGACAGCTTAATTTGTGAAAGGAAAAAATGAACTAAAGGCTATAATTTACAGTTGGGATAATTGGCCAACTGTTAGGAGAGGGAAAAAAACATCCTAACATAAAATCTGTGTAAAAATAGTGTGCTTGCTACGCAAACTTAGTTTCAAAACACAATCCTAGCTGCCATGCACCCAACCTCTCCTAGCTGAACAGGCAGTTGACCCTAAACTTCTTCCAAGTAGGAATTCTGGAGCATTTGTCCCAAAACAGAGGGACTGAACTAAATCTTGGTGGCCTCCTTTCTGAATTCAGTCTTGATCCTAGAGAGGAGTATCAAGCCGTCAGAAATTTCAACATGTTCATGACCCAACAAGATGGGTTAACTTGAAGGGAAAGCCAGGGGATGGTGGGAGCACAGAAGAGTCCCCTGTGCCAGGCTGGAGGTCTGGTGAGGTTTCCTCTGAGAAATCATATTGTAGATACCCCATAGATATGTGCTGGGAAATTGCACCAGCTAAGCCAACACCTGAAGCATGAGGTGGAATGAACCAGGTTGGCCCTGGAGAGGCAAAGAATTTCAGGCAGAAGGAACAGCAAGAGCCCAAAAGCTGTTGAGAATGTGGCCTCTTTGGTGTAACTGATTGGCCTAGCTGGTGAGTTGGCTTCCTGGACCTGCTTCTTCCTGTTCGAATTAGTCTGGAAGGGGCCTTGGAGCCCAGCAAATGCCTGTGCGTCACCTCCTAGCTGTTGACTAGGGTTAGCAGCATTGTCTCCTCTCATCCCCCAGCCTCTTAGATACAGATCCTGGCTCTTTCTCCATGAGAGCAGGTCAGTAAGCTGGGACCCCCAAATCTGGATGATTTGACAAGACCTAAGAGGGTCTGATGTGCACCCAGGTTTAGCAGCCACCAGCTTGGTGCAACCTTACACTGAACATTCCAGAAAGTAGAGCTCCAGAGAGGGCAGAGGTATGTCTGAACTATCTGGGTTGAAAAGTTCCTTCACTTAAGTAACACCTACCTATAGGCCCTTTCCCACATCTTCTTTTTTGTTTGGGGGATGGGGCACCCACCTCTGACAGCTCTGTCCAGGCAGAGGCATGGCATTGCTGAGCTGAGCCCAGCCTGGCAAATGGTGCCTGAGCAGGCTGGGCGTGGTGGGGACCAGGAGGGTGGGAGGAGGCTGGAGGCTTGGGCATGTGGGACTGAGTAGAGGGAGGGGCTAAGGAAGCAGGTTTTCCGATATGCCCCAACCATTGAGGCAGCCATGGTGGGAGGGGCATGGAAGCTCTAATTAAACCCAGTTTCTAATTAAGCCCAGCCCCTGTGTCTCCTCATTCCCTGTTAGTGTCCCCAAAGCATTTTAAGCTGCCATCCTGCTGAGAAGGCTGGGACCGCCGCCAGGGCCTGCCAAGCCTGATGAGTTTAGATCCATGAGGGGCAAAAAGCCAACCCCTCCAGACTTCCTCTCCAGTCCAAGGCAGTCTCTGGGTCCTCCAGTCACCTCAAAAGCCCAGGGAGACTCGTCCGTGCCCTGTCAAACCTGTCAACCTCTGGGGCTCTGAATGGAATCTAGACTGCCTCCCATGGGGTCTTGTCTCCAGCACCCATTTTCTGCCCAAAGTGCCAGGCTGGGGAAAAGGGATCAGGGCCTGGTATTGGCTTTGCTACACCCCCCAGACTCTGGAATGTACAGTTAGAATCCTGCACCTTCCACAGTGTCTGCAGGAAACAGCAATTACCATTTTAGGTGAAGGCATCCCTGGTTTGTTAATCCTTTCAGCCCTGGGTCTTCTGAAGGCCAAGCCTTCCTTCTCTCTCCTTCCTCAGCCCTGCCTCCTAGACACCATCCTCCAGTTCTTGGCAGAGGAAGCAACCCTTTCTTGCTGTTCCCCTCCCACCCCTTCTTCCTACCACACACTTGATCAGAGTTCAGAGAGGGAGAGCATCGGGTCCAAGATAACACAGCCAGAGAGGCAGCTCCTGGAGACTCAACCCCATCCGAGTCTCTGTGGCTTCTACCTTCACAGTCTCCCCAGGCCATATTCACACACACAGAGTTTAATTAACTTTATTGATATTCAGAAATTAGGAGAATGACTAAAGGTAATTGCTCATTAAAAATCATTAAACTGACACAGCAGGCCCGGGCTTGTGCTGCCCCTCCCACACCAATTTCCTCTCAACTTGTGGCAGCATTGCTTGGCACCGCCCCAGGTTAGGAGGACCACTGGTGGCCCGCAGTGCCTCTCATGACAGAGGCCAGTTGCAGCTTTGCAGCTGCAGGTTAATAAGGGACTAAGCCCACAGGATTGAACAAGGCCCAGCTTGATTTTATCTAGCACCCCTCTGATTCAGGTCTGTTCCCAGCTGCATCCCATGCCCTGCGTCCCTCAGCCTCTGTGTGAGCAAAGCTCTAAGGGTTGGTCTTGAGGCCATGAGGCCTTGTGATGCACCAGTGGGTGGAAAGGTGCACAGCCCTAGGCCTTTACTGCTCAAGCTCAAGGCCTATCTTTTTAGAGCTGAACCCGCAGGAGCCCTGAGATGACCACATGCACTGCTTCCCACTGAGATAATTCAGTACCCCAATGACTGGGACCTGGAAGCCCTGTTGGGATGGAGGGGCATACACCCCATATACCCTTTGGGAGGGTGGTACCACAGGCACTGGAGAGGTCTAGGTGCATCAGGGAGGGACACTAGACAGGGGCACATGGACTGTCAGCCACTGAGCAAACATTCACACCTGTACCCCCACTGCAGGCCACACCAGTCGTCCTCCTGGAGACCAGAAGTCTCACTCTAGCCCAGCAGTGAGCTTTCTGGCAGAGGTTGCACTGCACACCAGTGGCTTCACACACTCCTCACAACCAGACTGCTGAGCCCTCACCCAAAGTCCAGACCTCCTGAAGTGCAGACACAATCAGACCCAATATTCCAGACACGCTGAAATATTACATACACACTCAAATCCACTCACCCACACTCGAGGCTTCAGACTACACCCCAGGGGTATACACTCTCGCTGCGCCTGAGGGGAGCGGTTCAGCTCAAAGATGGGGCCTGACCCCAAGACAAGTCCTATACTTCGAGGGACTTTCTCCAAAAGCTGGGCCAGTATGCAGGCTTCCCCTCTCCTCCAATCCCCTCTCCCCAAGGGTGGGGTTTGCGCGATGCCTCTCCCCGCCCGACCCAACCTGAAAACACTGTTCCGAGTTCCTGGCGCCACCTGGTATCGGCAGCCCGGGGCTGGACGAGAACACCAGGACCGGAGCGATAGGAGCCAGAGGCTTAGAGGGGCTTCCGCGTCCTTTCGGGCGCAGAGCGAAGGAAATTGCTGACCAGGTGCCCAGCCTGGCCCCGGCCCCACTGCCCTGACCTCTGATGCGGCCTGGAAGGATCAAATGAAGAGGTTAGAAACTCCCATGTTCTTCCCACTCCACGTCAGGTGCTACGAATCATACTTCGAGGGACGGTGGGTTCCAACTCCAAGCAAGGTTCCGACGACCCCACCAACCGACTGGCTGCAGTGGAAGAAGAACCCGGGTGTCCGTAGCTTTGATGGATGCTTGTTTGTCCCACTGAGACTAGAAAATCTTCCTTCTCCGAGGCACAGAACCCCTATCCTCTCCCCAACACTCCCTTGCTGCCCACTCCTTGACCAAGCTTCCCTCGACCACAAACTGATGAAGTTGGAGACCGGACTGCGAGCGGAGGACTGCGAGGTGGGGTGCCGGTCCTCCCGCAACGAGTCTCCGGGCGTGGGGTGGGCGGGGGCGGAGCAGGATGCCAGGCCGGGAGGGAGGAAGAGCTCCGGGGGTGTACGAGGGGAGGAGAGCAAGGAAAGGCTATCTGGGAGGACAGTCTCTATCCCAGGACCTCAGTTGGAAAGGTGCAACCAGGGCAGAATGAGTAGCCGGAGGGGGGGGGCCTCGGCTGCCCCGAGTTTCTCTCCCTGGAATTGTACTCCAGGTTCCGACTCCGGCGTGGCAGCGACGTCCCGGACAACCCCGGGTCCTGCAGCCATCCAGCCCCGTCCCTCTGCAGTGAGGACGTGAGAGGCCCCGGAACAGGCGGCAAAGTCGAGCGAAGTTTGGCTGGCAGCAGGGCAGGCGGTTCGGCGGGCTGCCGATATGACCAGCCGGACTCAACGCCCTGTGCCCTCCCCCACAGCACGCGCACCGGCGCTCCTAGACGCCTGGAGTGTGGTGAGGTAGCGCGCGGGTAGCGCGTGAGTGTGTGCGGGGAGGGGGTGGCGTGATGAATTGCAGCAGAGAAATCCCATTAGATCCGGGGAGAAGATTAAAGGCGAGGTCTCGGCCGGCGCGAATGGCGGGAGCCGTGGCAGCTTCCCGCCAGCGGAGCCCGCGCCCCGCCCGGCTCGGCCGGTGCAGGGGGCAGCTCAGCTGGCGGAGAGCGGTCCCTGCTCTGGGCAGCCAAATGCGCGGAGCTGGGTGCCGGTACGGTCCTCTCTTCCCACCCCGGGACTTCGTCCCGCCTCCATCCTGTCGTCGGACGCCGTGGTCCCTTACCGTGAGCCAGGAGCGCTAGCAGCGAGGGCAGGAGCAGCAAGACTACCGGGGACATGGTGCTGGTGGCGGCCGCGCCTGGGGTCGGAGCCGCGGCGGGAGCGCGGGGGGCTTGGCGGGGTGTGGGCGCGGGGGACGGAGCGGGGTCCGGCCAGGGAGAGGGAGCGGGGCCGCCGCCGCCGCCGCCGCCGCCGCCACCGCCAGCTCCTGACAGAATCAGCACCACGGCCAGCGCCTGGCGTCGGCGCCGGGGATCGCCGCGCGGGGCTGGGGGCGGGGGCGCGGGAGGAGCAGCTTACCGTAAAGTCTCAAGCAAAGGCGCAGAAGACCCAGGAGCGGGAGCTCAGCCTACCGTTCCGCGGGCAGCTCAGGGAAAGGACTGCCCGGCTAGTGTGGGTACACTGTCGCCACCCTTCCGCGCTGCGCACGCCCAGCCAAGCTCGCCACCCTCACCCCCTTTAGCAGCCTGACAAACAGATGGGGTTGTAACCTGATTCTCCACGAGAGAGAACTTCCTCGCCACCTCTCTCCACCCCATGTTTGTACCTGAGGGCCCCAAGGGCGACCTGGGAGGATGTCCTCGAGTGAGGCAGCTGGCGAGGCCCGCGTTCCCTTGTGGTAGCTCCGTCTTGGGCCGAAAATGAAGGTGGTTTTTGAGCATGCAAAGGACAATAAATTATTACTTTGAGCTCAATAAATGCCAGGGCTCCAGGCAGCTGCATCAGCAGCGAACTGTGCTCACAGAAAAGCTTAATTATCCTGGTATTATAGTTAAAAGCCAGTGGTACTCACATTCTTCACTTGGCAGGAGGCAACCTGGGCCAAGCGGAAAGTAGTATCCTGAATCCCATGCAGCTCTGGGTCTCCCGGACCCTGTCTTGGCCCCACTACAAGACCAGAGAAATCACAGTGCCAGCCAGTGAGAGTAGACCCTTCATGCCAATCCCTGCCCAGATTCCTGGAACTTGTGGAGAGAATGGGGCGCTAATGGCGGGTGGGAGTGTTTCCCTGGGACTATTGTAGGTGGAGACTTGAGGGAGGCCCAGGGGAGTAGCTGGGAAGACACTATCATTCAAGGGCTTGGAAAAATAAGCTTCCTCTGCTTGGGCTAAGAAGCCCCAATGAGTCAGAGGGCAGCAAAAAGGGCGTTCATAGCTGTGCCATCTCTGAGACTGATGATGGGACCTAGGGGTTTCTGGCTCCATAGATGGCCTCATTGAAGAGGCTCAGTGGACACAACAGGACATGACCCTGTGACTGATGTTGTTATTCCCTGTAGAAAAAGAGGAGGGCTGAACTGCCTGTGGCCCCCAGTGAGAAGGACAGCTTTCTATTTGGTTCTTTTCACATGAACTTGGCTTTTCCTCAAAGCTTCCAGACCCCAGTCATTGTCCAGTGCCCTCCTGACCTCATCCTGGAAGCAGATCTGCTCTTAAGTCTTCTTCCTCAGAGCGTGTTTTCGTCCTTAGTACCTCCACAGTCTTCCAGCTCTGCTCATCAGATTCACTCTAGATCATCTTCCTGTGAGCTCTGGGGAGTTGCCTCCACCACTTTAAATAATCCTAGGCAGCAGGCAGGTGGCATGTAGAATTATCTGAGAGTGTCACTGGGAGAGGATTTCTGGACAGTTGTTTCAAGAAGCTGAGAAAAAAGACAGCGGTAGCAGAAGGATAGCGCAAGGCAGGAACTGGCCAAGGATCAGAGGTAGGAGAGGAAGCCAGGAAAGAAGGTGCAGAGGGGAGAAAGAAAGAGAATTGTCAGCAGAGGAGGGAGGAGAAGGTTCTGTGGCTGAGGGAAGTTTGGAGAAATACAGGCAAATAGCATGAGATTCCTCCTTTCCTCCTTGAAGATATTTTTGAGTACCTCCTTGATTTCTGGGCCCCTCTGGACTGTGAAGCTTGGGCAGAGTGGGGTGAATCATAACCCAGGGATGAACCTTGTATGCCAGGATGATTCATGGGGATTTGGAGGCTGGTAGCAGGCTTGTCTCCTGGCAGCTGGGCTCCTTGATGCGCTGGGCACTACTCACAAGAAGGAGGGTGAGAGGAGCCACCCAGGAACTTGCCACATCACCCTTCCTGTTGCTTGAACTAACTTAGGCTTTTAGGAGGGGATCCAATGGAGACTACAAGTCCCAGAATGCAGCACTCTTCTCTGAGCTCAGAGGCTGGGTTTGTACTACATCATGGGAAGAATAATGCATCCGGGCCATCCTTCCCTCCTAAAAATGGTCAGTGTGCCCTCCATGCAATGGGTTCCCACTTAGGTTGAGGTAGAGCCTGCGCCAGACTGGGAAGCTGTAGAGTTTCTGTCAAGCACCCTGGGTCATACCCTCCTAGAGGGTGTATGCTGCTCAGACCTCAGTATCATCCACAGACGAGGACAGTAAGATGCCCTAGAGGACATTCAGCCCTATGCTGCAGGCTCATAGTGTACTTGAGTCATACACACGTTTGAAAGTGGCAGCCTGGAGACTTTCAAGCGTCCCTTCACTGGTCATTCCTGTTCCCCCTCCCCTCCCCTCTCTGGTCCCAGCTCTTTGCTCCCAGAGGACCCTGTCTTCTCTGTAGTTGTCGACTCTGTGAAGGCACTAAACTGTGTCTTCTCCTCTCTCAACCTAGCCCAGTGCTCAGGATATAAATAAATAAATATTTGAGAATAAATGATGCCATGGAGGGGGAAGGCAAGGAGTGTAGGTCATTTGTGCCACATGAATGCTGTGAGATAACAGAGAAGGGGACAACTGCTCCTTTTGTGGGTGAGAGGAGGTCACTGAAAGCTTCACACAGCAGATGGGTGGACTGAAATGATGTCTTAAATACGTCTTAGGTTTCAGTTAGTGGAGAGGAAGTGGGAGGACATCCAAAGTTGAGGGAGTGGCTCATGCAATGGCAAAGTAATGGAAAATTCAGGATACTCTGGGCTCAGAAGACTGGACTGGTGGAGCAGGGAGACCCTGCACGGAGGTAAGAGGAAGGATTGGAGTAGACTGTGGCCAGGTCTTGTGGTCTTCTGAGCTGCAGGATGTCCTTGGTGGCTACACTGAAGTAGTTAGCCCATCACAAAGGTATTTGCACCAAAACAAGGGACTCTGAAATTATTAAGGTGAATTTCAAGCATCATGGCAAAGTGGTAGGGACTGAGGGGTCACTGCTGACTCAGAAGGTGGGGTGGGCTGCTGAGTGACAATGGCTGTATTAGTCCTGAGAGCCAGAGAGAGGGAAGAGGGGTTCTCCAATCGTACGGACCCTGAAAGCCTCTGTCCAGACAGTGCTAGACAGCTAAACCACATTCCTGAAAAAGCCAGCTTCACTTCCCCATGTCTAAATAGCCCATCAATTTGTGGGATCACAGGCACATTGGTGACTTTCTGGCTGGATGACACTTGCTTTCTGAGTGAGAGGAGAAGAAATTAGTATCCTCCCAGACAACTTTCAAACCAGATCTACATCTTCTGTGGAGCCAAATGGGTTTTGCAGTTTCAGGGAAGTAGGAGCAAGGGGGTACCACCTGACTCCAGAGACTGCCAGGGGCACAGAGCTGTCTGCTTTACTCAACTCACTCCTCTGAGGGGCTCCCAGACTTTGCAGCATCTGGGACAGGCTTCCTGGGGGTTATCCAAGTCAACCCTTCAAATTAGGGGGATAGGGAGGGCCCTACCTGGCAAAAGGGGAGTCTTGGCTCCTGGACGTTTGCTTTTGTTTCAGGAGCAGAACCACATCTGCGAAAGCAAGAGCCCAGGGTGGGTGGAGACAGCAGCAGAAAGTGGTTTGTGTCAGCTGCTTTCCATCTCTAAACTGAGGCCTCCAGCCCGCCCACCATCCCCAGCCAAGGCCTTTGATCCTCCACAGCTCCATAAATGTTTAATGTCACTCTCCGGGCAGAAATGAGGCAGGTGCCAGAACAGAGAGGCTGAGGATATGACTTAAGATCCATGATGAGAACCACCACGTTGGTTAGATTATTTATTCAAGCAGGAGCCCTGGGATGGATGGGAGGAAGCCTTCCCCCTCCATGTGACAGGTGAAGTCCCAGGGTTCAGATTTGTGGCACTAATGAAGGAAACTTTTTGAAAACTCACCAAGGGGCTGAAAATAAAATAATCAGTTGCAAAAGCCCAATCTCCACTTTGATTGAAGGAGAAAGATGGAAAGTTAAATGACAATCAAATGCAAATACAGCTCAACAAATACCACAGCAATTACCAGGCGCAGGAACCACATGGAGCCACAGGCAATAGGGGTTGGTAATTTGGAAGCCTGGGCCTGTGCAGAGGTGATGGGCAGGGGGCCATTTTAATGGACAGTTAAATAGATGCAAAAAACAAAATAAAACAACCCTGCATCTACTTTGCATACACTGCTAATGAGTGGGGATCTGGAATCCTGGCATCCAGTGGGAGGTAATGCCAACTTCTGTTTCTGCTCCTGAGTCATTTCAGAATAGAAGAGGCCCTGCCTGCTGGGAGCTGAGGCCATGCTAGGCAGTTGGATCAGAGGACCTTGAGAGGGTTGTCTTAGTCTCTCTGGATTCTTCACCCCAGCTGGTGCTGAAGAGTTGAGGGTTGAAGTTGAAGGGAACCTGTGGTGTCCTCTGGGAAAGGGCTCAAGGTTTTGGCCTTCCAGAAGCCCAAAGGCCTCGGTGGGAGCAGCGTTCTTCAGATTTGCATAATGTTTTGCATCTCATTTGAATGCTATTAATTTGGTGTCAGGCTAGGTTGGCACAGAGTAGAAAAGATAACAGCTGGCCTTCTCCCTCCCCTCTGTACCCCGGAGGCTCACCCTGAGCATAGGCCTCCTTAAGTTGGGGAACACAGGCCTCCACGTCTACCACCTCCTCAGTGTTCTGTAGCACTTGGAGAGTCTCCTGGAAAAGCCAGCTCCTAAAAGCCAAGGCTTCCTGGGCAACGTGGCCAGTTATACTAAAGGAAGAAGAAAGGGTCCCCCAAGGTGGCTTTCACCAGACCCAGAGACACCATGGGAAGATGCTGGCAGCCTCCTTCTCCCCAAGCAATCAAGGCTGCTTGGCTGGGAAAGGGTCCAAAGATAATAGCCAGGAGAGGGAGGGAACAAAGACAGGTGATAATCCCATAGAAATATAGAGGGCTCTAGAAATAAAATTCCCTGAACTCAATATTTCTAGTGTTTGAACTTACATAAAATACATCTGTCCAGAGGCATTGGGTTAATGGTGGTACAACCCTGGGGCTGGGAACCTGGTAC